GATCCTCCACCCACTAGCCCCCTCCCTAAATCTCAATCAAGCACAAGCCATGAGGTGTCAATGGAACCTCCCACCACACTTCAATCACATCCAGTCCCAACAAGTTCCAGTGGATCTCCCATTCTTTCCCCCAGGAGAGATCAACAATATGAATCCCATTTTCATTCCATGGACAACCCCATTCGATCCAATGACTCCACAAAACAACCAACAACAACCCCATGCACCACCCCCACTACATGCACAACCTCTACCCCCACAGCCACCACCTGCTCAACCACAAAACCCTCCAATGAACCCTCAAGTTCAACACCCTCTCAACGCACTAGAACAAGAAAATGTAGAAATGGAGGAGGAGGACGAAATAAACCTACTGGGATCCGGTCCAGTCCTAGAGTTTTCAAGGCTCAACGAGGTAAAAGTCTACCTATTCAGAGATCAAAGGGAGAAAAGGTACGTGCTAAGCTGTCCAATAGCACTACACAAATTCTCCATGGATGTGAGACCCCCTCAAGACCCAACAGTGGGGAACCATGCTATGATTCTGGTTCCTTCACTAAGGAGGAACCCAGTTCCTCACACTCAGAGGGAAAATGGGACACCACCAAATCTTCCAAATATGTATAGGCCTACTAATGTAATAATATGGAACATACGAGGTGGGAATAATGAAAATTTCAGGGTGAACTTTAGAAAAATGCTTGACACTCACAAGCCATGCATGGTTACTCATGGAAAGCACTTATCCCTTCTAAGTGACTTTGACTTTTCCCAAATGATCGAGGTACCTAGTGAGGGTCAATCAGGAGGTATAGTGCTTCTTTGGGAGGCAAATGTGGTCAGGGTTCATGACTTTGTTAGAAACAATCAAGAAATTCATGTTGTGATTGAGGTACTTCCTTTAAAAATTACTTGGTTATTTTCATCTGTTTATGCTAGCACTAAATTGTTTAAACGATTAGAAATGTGGAGTAACATAGAAAAAATTAGTAAGACTGTTAATGGCCCTTGGCTTCTTGGGAGAGATTTCAATGATGTTATTAGCTACAATGACAAGCTTGGTGGTAACTCCATTAATAGTAGACGTAGCAAAGAAATCTGGAAAAGTATTAATTTTTGTAAACTTTTAGATTTAGGTTATAAGGGTTGCAAATACACTTGGTCGAATCATAGGAAGAAATCTAAGGGTTTAATTATGGAACGACTTGATAGAATTTTTGTGAACAAGGAGTGGATTGATCTATGGGTTGTTGAAGCCAGCCCCCTTTGTAGGGAAACTTTCGTATCTATGATTTAGTTTGCTTTCTTGGAGTCTCTTGCTCTGTTCTTTATACTGTGGTATCAACCCCTAAGGCAGTAGTGATTCATCTCCCTAAAACTCATTCGGACCATAATCCTCTCCTATTAAATTTTAAGCCTAGGCATGTTAACAGTACTGATAAGAATTTCCGTTTAGAAACTATATGGTGTAGGCACCCTGATTTTGTTAATCTTGTTAAAAAAATTGTCTTATTAAAGATCTCGGTGAGGCCCAGGAAAATTTTACCAAAGATGTTATAAATTGGAAGAATTCAACCTTTGGTGATATTTTTAAGAAAAAGAGACAGTTACTAGCTAGACTTAATGGAATTCAAACCTCTCCCCATTACTACACTAGTGACTTCCTTCAAAATCTTGAATCAACTCTTCAATTAGAATATAATAACATCTTACATATGTATCATGACTTTTGGAAGCTAAGAGCTAGGAGATTGGCTAAGTGATGGTGATGCCAACACTAAGTTTTTTTCATATTATGACCTCTAATCGTAAAAGTCGTAATGCCATTATGTATTTCACTAATGAGAAAGGGGATTGGATAACTGGTCCAAACAAAATCCTAGATCACTCCTTTACTTTTTTTAGAGAGGCCTTTCAAAGTGCTCACATTGTCTCCCCTATAAAATTTTTTACCAATGATCCCTCTGCCATGAATAAACTTGATTTGCAATGCCTTGATAACCCCCTCTCTATTAGTGAAATAACAAAAGCCATCTTTTCTTTCAAACCCTTCAAAGCCCCAGGCCCGGATGACATCCACCCTTTTTTTTACCAAAGATATTGGCATGTATTAAAAGACTCCTTTATTTCTTACTGTCAGAATGTTTTCTCCGATCAATCCCTACCAAGTGGAATAAACAACACTTATCTGTGCCTAATCCCAAAATTCCCTAATGCAAACAACTTAAAAAATTTCAGACCTATTGGTCTTTGTAATATTGCTTATAAGGTAATTACTAAAATTGTCGCTAATAGACTGAAACCATTCCTTCCTCTTCTCATTAGTCCCATGCAATCTAGTTTCATGAAAAATAGAAGAACCAGTGATAACGCCATAATCATACAAGAAATTATGGGTTATCTTAAACGATCCAAAAACTCTAATTTAAACGTGCTCATTAAGTTAGACCTTGAGAAAGCTTTTGATAGGTTGGAGTGGTCCTTTATTTATAAGACCCTCCGTTACTTCAAATTCCCTCCTATGATAACCAACCTTATCATGCATTATATTACTACTAGTTCTATAGGGGTCCTTGTAAATGGTACAAAAATAAAAAAAATTCCAACCTAGTAGGGGTGTTCGTCAAGGTGATTCCCTCTCTCCATACATATTCATATTGTGTATTGAACTCCTTTCTAGGCTCATCAACCACCAAGTTGATCTTAGGAATTGGGACCCCATCCAAATTGGTCACAAGGGCCCCTCCTTCTCCCATTTACTCTTTGCAGATAACATTACTCTTATGGGAAAACCAATAAAAAAACTAGTCATTGTATAAAGGGATGCTTGGATTATTTCTCCAAAGAATCTGGACTTACCATAAACAATTCTAAATCCAGAATTGTTATTCCTCCCCATTGCCCAAAAGAGGTATCAATCTATCTACATTCTCTTTTTGGCATAAAATGTACCACTGAGTTTGGTAATTATCTGGGGTTCCCTATCCTCAATAAAAATTCCAAGGCCAAAGACTTCCAATTCATTTTGGATAAATTACAAACTGGACTCTCACATTGGAAATGTTCAATCCTTAATATGGTCGGGCGTACCACACTAGTAACTAGTACCCTAGGAGCAATTCCTTCACATATAATGCAATATACTCTCCTTCCCTCCAAAACACTCAAGTCCATTGAAAAAATTCAAAGAAATTTTATTTGGGGTACTACTAATACTTCAAAAAACCTCCATCTCATTAATTGGGACATGGTCACTAAGGATAAAAAGGATGGTGGCTTAGGTATCCGCAAGGCAAAAGAAAAAAATTTGGTCTCCCTTGCAAGCCTTGTGTGGATACTATTAAAAACCCATCTATGCCTTGGTGTTATCTTATTACATCCAAATATGCTCACTCAAAGAATTTTAAAAATCTCTCTTTCATTTGGAAATCCATACTCCAGGGATGGAAACTTTGCAATAGTGGAATCCTATGGCATCCCTCAAAAAATTCTTGCTTAAACATTTGGCATAATAATTGGATTTATAACACCCCAAACCTAAGGAGCTCTATTGAGGGGCCCCTCAAAAAATTCCAAGGTTGATGATCTTAGCTGGAATCTAAACTCCATGGGTTTTTTCTCCATAAAATCTTGCTATAAACTTTCCAATAAAGCCTCGACTCCCAACAAATGCTATAAATGGATTTGGGATCTCCTATGCCCTAACAAGATTAAAATATTTCTTTGGAAATGTATTCACAACTGTGTCCCTTGCAGAGCTTATCTGAGAAAAATTGGCATAAACATAGATGAAACTTGCACTACGTGTAGAATGGGCATTGAAGATATCCGTCATATTTTTCTACACTGTACATCTACCCAAAGATTCTGGATGGCCATGGGCATTAGCTTTCAAATAAATATGGGTGACACAAACTGGCTTTCACAGCTACGTGATGCCTTTATAAGTCAAAACTCTCACTTGATCAATTGGAAAACCCTTTTTCCTTTTTGCATCTGGGAAATATGGAAGAATAGGAATAATAATAATGTAAATAACCTTCGTGGTCACCTCCATATAAAAACACCCATGCATTTTGCATGGGAATATCATTTTTTCACGGAAAGAAACCCCTTTAAAAAGAAGAAAATAGTCGTTGAAACTAGGTGGTATAAACCGCCAATAAATTCTATCAAACATAACTGTGATGGTGCTTTCTCTTCTACTAACAATGCAGTAGGTATTGGTGGATCTTTTCGAAATAGTAATGGTGATTGGATCTTGGGTTACCAGAAAAGAACTCATGCTGCCTCCCCAATCCATGCAGAACTCCTGGCTCTCCTGGAAGGCCTAAAAATTGCAATAGACTTTAGAGAGACAAACATGGAAATTGAAACTGATAGCACAAATGTTATCAAACTTCTACATGAAGAAAGTACTAACTTTCAAAATGTCATTCTTGAATGCAGGTGATTAATGCACCGGCTGAAGCTCCCAGTACTGAGGCACAACTTTAGGGAAGGAAATGAAGTAGCTCATAGACTGGCAAAGGAAGCTTTGAAGAAACCTCCCAGTAACAAATATTTTTACCTTGCTCGTCCACCTCTTTTTGTGCAAGAAGAAATCCAGAAGGATAAGCAAGACTCCTGTAATAGCCTAAGATCTATCTCTACCGATGTTTGTAATTTCCTAGCAACTATGGGCAATAGTAATGCCCTCAAATCTATGCCTAACTCGTGTACTTCATTTTGTTAAGTAATATAATTATCGTGCTTTTATGTTAAAAAAAAAAAAAAGAACCAGTCCAAGAAGAAGCAGCGGCAAGTCTGTATCATCCATAAAAATTAAGACATAAACGTAATGCTGCACTACACAATTCAAGGAAAGAAAAAGAGGAGAAGCCAAGTTCAATTTGTATTTGCAAAATTTCCCGTGGAGGCACTTTCAACTTTCTCTGAGTTCATGTATTTACAAACTAGACCTATTGAGTGTTAGTAATATGAGTTAAAGAATTCGGCACTGAAATATCCAACTACAGTTAAGCACTCCCATCTTCAGAGAAACAAAAGGACCACAACATAGATTTTTAAGGTCAATCAAGTAAACAAAATGTTAAAATACGTTCTTTAGACAAAAGGGAAACCTGTAAGTTCACACTATAAACAAATTGTATCACCAGTTCGCCATGTTCTATTACAGTTCCTTCCCTCGTTTCCTCAGTTTCCAAAGCAACAATAAGAATATCAAAGTAACGCATTGTACTTGTATAAATTCCCATATACATTGTATAATGAAACGAGCAAGGTGTTTGTCTTTTGAGCCAGTGATACCAACACAACTGAAGACAGTGTGGTAAAATTCAGGAATATCCACATATATCTGCAATAAATTGAAGCCAAGTACCTCGCAAAGTTTGTCTTGGAAGGAGGACTAATGTTCAGTAATCATGGGCAAAATTCATCTCCTTGAACTTCTAGTTGCTTACTGTTCTTAATAGTTGTCTGTAATATTCTCCATATCAACTCTTCCGGATTATGAACTTATACGCAACTGATTATAATAAATCCCTGATAAAATCAAGGTTTAGAGTATCACGGACTAGAAGGAACAGTCCAATAATGAGCACAAACATGATTCCAGATGACATAATACGTTGCTCTACTTCTATAGGAAGCTTTTTTCCACCTCGAGCTGCTTCTACAAGAATCAAGGCTAAAGAACCCCCGTCTAACGCAGGCAAAGGAAGGAGATTTATAACCGCGAGGTTGATATTCAAAACAGCTGCAAATTGATAAAGGCCGTCAATGTTTGATTTTGCAACTTCAGCACCAACAGCTATAATGGCAACAGGACCCGATACCTTACTAGCCGTTTGAGAGAAGTTCATAAAAGTCTGTTTCAAACTGTCCAATACATTGTACGTAAGACCCCAAAATTCTCTTCCTGAGAAGCTAAAAGCCTCAAATATATTCTTCGGCTGAACTTTCGAAATCTTGAAATTTGGTGACAGTTGAACTCCAATCCTACCCGTACCATCTGAATTCTCATCAGGTGTAACTCTAACATCAACATTCCCTTCTCCTCTTCCTATTTTCAACAACACATTTCTCTTTGGATTTTTCTTAATGACATCAACAACCTCAGAAACCAAATTAGGTCCACTTTTCCCTAATTCAATTCCATTTAAACCTAAAATAACATCACCAGGAAGTAATCCATCTCTAGATGCAGCTGAAAAAGGCCTAACATCAGGGACAAGAACTCCAGGGAAAGATTCTTGAACAGGCAATCCAACTAACAACACTTGTGTAAATATTATAACATAAGCAAAGATTATATTAGCTATTACACCAGCTGAAATTACAATTACCCTATCAAATATGGGTCTATTTTTTAGCAAATTTTTGTCATCAGGGGGAATATCACTATCAGGATCATTATCAGGAAACCCCACAAACCCACCAAGAGGAAATGCTCTAAGTGAATACTCAACATTTTTGGCATTGAATTTAGCTAAGATTGGACCAAACCCAACAGCAAATTTACTTACATGAATACCTTGAAGATAAGCAGCAAGAAAGTGACCACTTTCATGTACAACAATAATAGCTGTCAATACACTAATTGCTTCTAATACTGACTGTGCACTCTCAAATCCACTAAAATCAAGCCCAGGAATGGCCCAAGTTTGAAACTTTTTTCTTCTGCTAAGTGGGTATATATTCTTGTCATGTAAAAATTGATTCTTGGAATGAAAAAGGAGTTTTTCCGAAGAAGATGATAAGGATTTTGAGAAGTGAGTTTTGGACCTAAGATGGAACTTAGAAATGTGCGATTTGGAATGAATTAATTGTGAGAGGGAGAGAGAACAAGAAGAAGGAGAAGAGGAGAGGTTTATAATCATGTTTTTTGTGAATTTTGAAGGGGTTAATATGAAGAGATAGGGGGTTTTGGTTAATAAGGGATGGAGAAGATAGGCTGATGTTGGAATGGATAATTCACAAATTTGGATTTGTGGAGGGGATGTGTGTGATCTGTTTACAATGCTCACACCACAATTTTGCTTGCTTGGGCTCTAATTCATTTAACAGAGGTCCAGGAGAAATTTCCGCGTAAAAGAAAGGGGAAAAGACAGTACTACCTATAAAAGTGAAACTATTTATCCCGTCCTACCCATTAAAGAATTCTACCCACTAAATAATTATAACTTCTACCCATTTAATAAATAAACGGCAATAACAAAATAACTACCCACGCTTTTAATGCCCTACGTATAAAAACGCAAAAGCTGCTCAAAATTTTAGAAAATTTGCGCACAAACGTAGAAAAACGCAGAAGCTCCTCAAAATTTCAGAAAATTAGCGCACAAAATTGAGATTTCCACCGATCGAAGAGCAGTAAGTGTGAAAAAACAGATCGAAGATGCTGATTCGGATTTTAATTTCGCTGTTCTCTTCAGATTTTGATTTCGCTGTTGATTTGATTTTGATTTCGGAGCTAAACTTCTGAATTTTAGCTGAAAATTCTAATCTAGGTTTGAGATCTGGAGATCTAGAGGTTTGATTTCGCTGTTGTTTTGTTGAAATTTCGAACACTGTTGAAATTTGCATTGTTGAGATTCAATTTTGGACACAAAAGTGATTATAACTTTAGAATCATGGAAAATATTCCAATTCTGCTGCAACATAGTGGAGAATGGGATGATAACAATAATTTCATAAATTTTCATGTTGATGCAATTCTAATAAGGACCTATTGGAAATTTGAACAACTTCTCAGAGAAATTGCAAAGCAACTGCAAAAGGACAGTAAAACAATAGTTATTCAGTATGCTATTGCTCAAGGATATCCACCAATTACAATTTGCAGCGATATGAGTGTTAGTGTTTACATGGAATTGAAAAAATCAAGTGCAGGGATGGCAACATTTCCCCTGTGTGTGTCGTTTGCTAAAAACACTATAGCTGCAAGCACCTCCAGTTTCGATGTTGCTCCAATTTCATCAGAAATTGCAGAATTTGGAAACACTGATATGATTACTACGTTTGATGTGCAAGAAGGAGATGACGCCATTTTAGAACTTGATGATGCAAACATCATAACTGATCAATTTCATCAAAATGTTGAAAAAGGACAAATTTACAAAGACAAGAACCTGCTGGCTCTCGTTATGAAACAATATGCCGTAAGGAAAAAATGCCAATATCGGGTTCATAAATCATGCCCAAGAAGGTTCGTCTGCATGTTTTCAAGTAAAAAACTATGTGATACCTATATAGTATATAAGTATGCTAAATCAGTATACTATGCGAGTATAGAATTGTATTGGTTTGTGTGTGTTTTTTATCAGTGATACTGCTATAGTATATATGTATAATATATCAGTATACTATGCGAGTATATAACTGTATTGGTTTGTCTTTTTTATTATCAGTAAAACATAATACCAATATAGTATATATGAATGCTAAATCAGTATACTATGTGAGTATAGAATCATTTTAGTTATCAGAAACGTACATTGAAAGAAGAATGGCACAACATGGATGTGGAGTGCTTAAACAAAAGTATCATCTTTAAATGGTTAGATGTTTTTTCTTTTGTCTGGGATGAGTGGAACTTACATGTTTCACTTTTACATTTAAGTTACTGACATATGTTCTGCTAAAGATAGAGAAGGGTCTTTCTAGCCTGGAGCAGTTAAAACCGAATCAAGAGCTTGGTGACTGAGGAGTTGAAACCGAATCGAAAGATACACAGGGAATAAAGATAAAAATAAGCACAAGTGCAAGTACGACCAACACTTACTTCTTTCATTTATTTATAACTGAGACCACGATGCAAACAAGGGTAGCTTAAATGGAAATAATTTTATAATACTAGGCTTAACTAGAAAAATATAGTACATTGTCATTAAGTTATTTGTTGGAACCTGGTCCCCCAAAAAAGACCGTATGCCCAAAAGCATTATTGGTAATTGGTTCATCATCAACCCGGTAAAATGCGTGGGCATCTTCAAACTCTGATACTAGAGCCCCGGGATCCTCACTTTTTCCATCAATCAGAATTGAAATTTTGTATGGATATAAGTATACCAACAGAGTATATAAGTATACCAACAGAGTATACCATGTGAGTATATAATTGTATGGATTTTTGTGTGTTTTTTAT